CTGTTAAAGCAGTGTCTAGCAGTAATAGGAAAGCAAATTTTAGCTCATGGTGGAAGTCTTTTCTAAGGCAGAGCCCTTCAGAAGGGACTGGGCAGTCTCTAGATGTTCTAAGCTGCTAATCTCTGGAATGTGGCAATTTTACAATCATGTTCCTCAGATGCTAAAATGACAAAGGTGAGCAGTAAAGTGATCTAAAGACCTATGACTCCCAGTCAAGCAAAGCTCTCTGAGAATCCATAGTCCCCTCCTATGTAGCAGAAGACGTTGTTCTTTCTGTGTTAACAGTGACACAGGAATACTGGCTGATCACAGTTAATTAAGGCACCAGAAAGAACTGAAAAGTTGAAAATTTAACCCCTTAAATTATTAAGAAAGAGGAAGAATCAGGATCCTGGAAACTAGTGATTCCAGGGGCTGGGAGGCAGAACAAAAAGTGGGACAAAATTTGCTGAGAACAGCCTAGAGATGAATGAATTGAGTTCAAAGAGAAATCTGAGGGAGCTGCCCAGAAAAGTTTTTAAGCCAAAATATGTAGGAAATAAAAATTAAATTAAGATACCACTTTCTTGAAGCCAAGAAACATAAAATAAAGCTCTAATCTTACATAGGAGTAAAAACTCTGAAGAAAGGAGAAAATTCAGAGTTGAAAAAAGTAAGGACCCAGCCTAAAAAGGGCACTGCAGAATCCCTAAGCAGAATGTATCTCCTCAAGGGGCCTGTGCACCCACCACTAATCTGTTTACAGATCACAGCTGGAAGTGAGAAGAGGGTCAATGACAAGAGCTAACTACTCAAGCCCAGGACAGATCTCAGGCAAAAGATAAAGTAGGAAGGTGGCTCAGCAAGGAGACTCAAGCACACTGCAGTAAGAGGATATCTTTTTGCTGAGGGACAGTAACTTAGCTCTCTACACGTTTGTATTGTTCAGGAAAGTATAGGATAAAGAGCTAAAAATACTGAATTTGGAGTCAGGATTGCCTGGGTTTGACTGGTCAATACGCCCCTCACCCTTTCTGTGTTTCTCTGAACTTTGATGTTCAGATTTCTAGAAAAGGGAAATAATGGTATTTACATTACAGTGTTATTATGAAGATTAAAGAAGACAAATGTTAAGCATAGAACCTTTCCAGTGTTAGCTTAGTTTTAGTCCAGTGTAGTCATTTATGGACTGCCAATTTATACTCCCTTGTTTCATGTGGGTCAGTGACTAAGAGAAGGACCCTGAATCAGTGATGGATAACTAAGGAAAAGAAAACCAACATAAGATTACTAATGTCCACCAACAAGAAAATTCTACTGAAGAAAGTTGAGACATACAGAAATAGTCTATATTTCATATCTATCAAATATAGAAGTAATTACATCCTTAGGTAGGATGAGGGATTTAAAAGTCTTAGAAATCCTCTCAGTTACTCCTTGTCCTTCCCAGACACTAACTGATGATAAAATACATCATTAAAATTTAATTCTTCTGGTATATTGTGTGAGTAAAAATACTAACCACTTATAGAGAGGCTTGGCAAAGTCTCACCCTACTGTCTTTGACTGTCCAAATGGCAAGGGTAGGCAAGGCCCACAAACACAAATGCCTTCACATCTATACTCACCATCATGTGTATGGAAGTGAAATGACTTTCCAAAGGCATGAAGAAAAAGGCATTGTTACTAGATCCAGCTAAACAGAAAGGATGGTAAGCTACCTACCCTTAGAAATACTACATAAATCTGGAAAATTCCAGTTTCAATTCCCAAAGAGGTCAGATAGCCTGTCACCACTAAGGAAAACAATGTCTCAGGAGTGAGGCTGACAGACTTAGTGTAAGGAAAGGAAAAGAGTCCAGAGCATGAAATACATTGAACAGGAATAACATGAAGAGCAGTCGTCTCACATTGAGAATATCTACTAAATTTTTCAATGATCCTAAATTCTAATTCAGCATTTAATATCTCAGAATCTACTCTACACCATAAAATTCTCTACAGTGCAAAAACAAATTCATACACACATGCTCACATGTACACACACACGCGCTGTTGTAATAGTCAGAGGGAGGACTGTGGATAATGTGACGCTTAGCCTGTGTATATAGATCTATGCAAAGAAAAATCTTTATGCACAGAAATCTAATTCTCTGAGAAATGAGATTATAGGGAACTTTCACCTTTTCAATTATAAAATTAATGTGAATAAACATGTGTTCATGATTTTGAAAGCAAACAATATATACAGAAGTTAGTTCATCCCTCCTGTCTTATTCCAGAAGGCATTCACATGCACATAAACATGCACCCAACAACAAACACAACATACAAGAGATACTTTTCCTTATAGAATGAGATTATCCTGTGTACATTTGTGTGCAACTTGATTTTGTCACTTACCAAAATATCACAGACAGTACAGTAATAGTGATAACCTAACTCAGACAGGAATAGTGCCAGCCCTGCTGTCAATATGGCTGAATTCAAAACCCAGTTCTACTGCTTACTAACTACAGGATCTGGTAAGCTACCTAACTTTGCCAAACCCTAATCTTTATCCATAAAGTGCAAGTAATAATAGTGTGAATGACTTGGGATTTGGAGGTAATAAAGTAATTAAAGATGTGCAAAGAACTTAGGTCAGTGTACAGCATTCAGTGATAATAAATATGAGCCAACACTAGTCATATTATTTTTTAGAGATGGCATGATATTCAGCAATAAAAATTCACTATAAATTTTCAGTAGTTCTCCTGTTTGAGAACATTTAAGTTGTTTTCCCTGTGTATTGTATGGTTTTGTTCGATATTACAGGCAATACTACAATAAAATGTGTGTGCACGTCTTCATAATACACAAATATGACTATGTCTAGAGAACAGATTTACTTAGGTGGAACTGTTGGGTAAGGTGATACAGTTTTTCAGTTCTGATACCAACTGCTAAAGAGCCTGTGTTGATTTTCCCCAGTCACTATTGGTATATGTAAGTGTCGACTTCCCTTTGGATATTGTCTAAAAAATGTGTTGTCAATCTGGTGAAAATTGTGTTTCAGCCCAATTTGTATTTTCTGGCTACCAAAGAGGTTGAACAACTTGTCATATGATTTCTTTGCTAACTGTGTTGCAGATATTTTCTGTGAGTCAATGGTTCATATTTTAACTTTGCTTAGCATAATTTTCAAATTTTTAGGTACAATATTTTGTCATTTTTCTACACTTCAATTCTTTCTTAGATTAGCATTCAAATTCTGAAACCCTAAAAATAAGTTTCTTTATTGTTGACTAGAATTTATTTTATAGTTTGGATTTTTACTTTTAGTTTATTCGTCTGAGTTTTACTTTTTTGGGGGGGTATTAAACATTTTATTTAAAGATTTTTAATGTATAAAAAAGTACACAAATACAGATTACACTGTAGTGATGAAGGCAGTATCTACATGACAAAAAATCAAAACAAAAAAATTTACAAAATAAATGTACCAGCACTGAACAAGCATAATACATAATATTCAATCCTGGCTGCACATGCATAAAATGATCTGACCACATGCTTATGCAAAATAAATTATTTCTTAGAGACAAAATACCAATCATTCCGATGGTCCACCAACTTATTCCCCTACTAAGTATTTTGAGAGAACTTTTATATAGTGAAAAAGAACTAGCATGGCACTTAAAAGACTGCAAAAAAAAATAGAACACAAAAACATATTTGTAATCCAATTCTGTATAAAATATACACAGTAAATCTTATGTTTAAAAAAAGATTAAAAACAAGACTACCATTAATAATGGCTAAACCCCATTACAGAAAATGCTCGTCACTTGTAGGTTACTGGTAGAAAACTAAAATTTTCATCTGAGTTTTACTTTGATTTATGAGTTAGATAGAAACCTTGCCTATTTTTTAAATATTTGACTAATTGTCAGAAGTTGCATTAATTTAATACTCCAATTTAATAATCAATCATTATTACATAATAAGGTCCCTGTACAGCAGAATCACTAGCTATGAATAAATACAGATATGCAGAATTCTTTATGAGCCACACTGACTTCTTTTTCTCTGTATGTGCCAATATCTCATTGTTAATTGTTGTGTGCCTGGGTTTGGGATTTTAAAAGTTTCCTGTCATTATCCTAATTTTTTTCAAAATTGTCTTGTCTTTCCTTACCATCTACCCTCTAATGAATCTTAGAACAATCTTCTCAAATCCATTAAACACTCCCTCAGAGTCCCATTAGAGATGCATTGAATTTTATTAATTTGAGATTTTATGTTCTTAAATAATGATAAGTACTATATTATTCAAGCAGAAATGTTTAAATAAATGCAAAAATGATACCTGTTGAAACTGTTCCAGGAATCAGGGGAGGGGGAATGTGGGAGAGAAGTGGAGGGGGGAATTCAAGTATGATATATTTGATACATTGTAAGAACCTTTGTAACTGCCACAATGTACCCACTCCCAGCACAAAAATTTAAAAAAATTTTTTAAAGAAATGCTTAAATAAACATTAAATGGTTTTTGTTCTGAAGATATAAGAAAGTCTCATCTGAATTCTGTGGGTTGCAAGGAGCACTGATTAATTCTGATGTTCAGTTTTCCACTATCAATATTGTAACCACTACTCTACAACTATGAGGAGGAAGACACACAGAATGACAGGAGCTCATTCATGACGATCCACTGCACGAAAAACATTCTGATTCAGGGTAAGACTCAGCAACTCCTCCTTCTAGGAGAGGGGAAAAGAGAGAGAGAGAGAGACTCTGAATCTAAGGAGTTGGGCAAGGAACCATCTAAAAAGAATGTTTAGAAATGAAAAAGAAGAAGAACACAAGTAAATTATATAAAACATGCTACCCACATTTGGGAAACTTTCAATTTTTAATTGAGAAGGTGATTAGAGTTTTTGAACATCCCTGATTGAATATTATACCCTAAGCACTTGTTTATAGTTGATCAAAGTAAATATTCTTCAAATCCTAATAAATAGTACTGCAATTTTTATAGGACTAATGTTAGGAAAGAAGTTGTCTGGATCAAATTGCCCTTCACATCTCTCCCACAACTTCTTAAAACCTGTCCAGAGACATGGAGATGAAGAACCACAGCAGCAGCACATCTGGTTTCATCCTCCTGGGCCTCTCTTCCAACCCAGAGCTGCAGAAACCCCTTTTCGCCATCTTCCTCCTCATGTACCTGATAACCACAATGGGGAATATGCTAATCGTTCTGGCCATCCATTCTGACTCTAGGCTCCACACCCCCATGTACTTTTTCCTTAGCAATTTGTCCTTCATGGATATCTGCTTCACAACAGTCATTGTGCCCAAGATGCTGGTGAATTTACTGTCAGAGACAAAGGATATTTCCTATGTGGGATGTCTGGTCCAGATGTACTTCTTCATGGCCTTTGGGAACACTGACAGCTACCTGCTGGCTTCCATGGCTATTGACCGACTGGTGGCCATCTGCAACCCCTTCCACTATGATGTGGTGATGAGCTCACAGCGTTGCCTCCTTATGCTGCTGGGTTCTTGCACCATCTCCCATCTACACTCCCTGTTCCGCGTGCTACTCATGTCTCACCTCTCTTTCTGTGGTTCCCATGTCATTAAGCACTTTTTCTGTGACACACAGCCTGTGCTGAAGCTGTCCTGTTCTGACACATCCTCTAGCCAGATTGTGGTCATGACTGAGACTCTGGCTGTCATCGTGACCCCCTTCCTGTGCATCCTCTTCTCCTACCTGAGAATCATCGTCACTGTGCTCAGAATCCCCTCTGCAGCAGGGAAGTGGAAAACCTTCTCTACCTGTGGCTCCCACCTCACTGTAGTGGCTCTGTTCTATGGAAGTGTCATCTATGTCTATTTCAGGCCTTTGTCCATGTACTCAGTGGTGAAGGATCGGGTAGCCACAGTTATGTACACTGTAGTGACTCCCATGCTGAATCCTTTCATATATAGCCTAAGGAACAAAGATATGAAAAGAGGTTTGAAGAAAATAAGGGACAAAATTCACTTGTGGAAAGAACTAAATGATGCAATATCATAGCCGGGAGATGACCTAAAAGATTATCAGGTTAGTCTTCTCTTTTCTACCCATTTTCCACATAGCACTCAAAAAAGTAATGAGGATTGTTGTTTGATACCAATGACAGCATTGACTAGGGGCAAAACACTTGGTTTCTATCAATTTCTTTGACCAGATGCATATTTAATCCCAGGATATGTTCTCCCAGGAGAATTCAGGTTTTAAGATAACAGTTTTCACCTTCCTCAATGAACTGATACCCCAATGGTGGAATAAATAACAATTCAATAAGCCTGACAATGGACAATGACAAGGAGTTAAAAATTCCTATTAGTTTTCAGAAGAGGACTATAGATGATAGATAGATAGATACATAGATGGATAGATAAGGAATTGGAAAAGAATTCTTAGACAAAGGACATAAAGTCATCCTGAAGAATGACATTTATAGACAAAGTTTCGAAAGAGTAAATAGCCAAGCATAGTGGCACACACCTATAATCTCAGCTATGCATGAAGCAAGAGGATTGCAAGTTTGAGTCTGGTCCAAACAAGTTATCAATAGCCTATCACAAAACACAATAAAAGCAAAAGGGCTATGTAAGTGGTAGAGCATTTGCCTTGCAAGTGCAAGGTCCTGGATGAAATCCCCAGTACAAAAAAGCAAAGTGGGGAAAGGTGAATAAATGGGCAGAGCATTTCAAATATTGAAAAACACAAGACATTGTCAATAAACACTGGAATATTTAAAGACACCGAGAAACACTCTGTGGAACTTCTTCAATTTCGGAATAAGGAGTAAGGCTGGAAAGATAGAGAAAAGACAAAAATTGTTTATCCCCCATCAAAAACCAAGGGTCAGAACAGTGTGAACTCTCTATACCCAATTCTTCTTCCCTTCCCTCTTAATTCTTCCTTTCTCCACAAATCCAATATGCTCCCTAAGATTTCCTTTACATCCTGGAAAAAAATATGTTTGTCAGACAAGAAAAGCTAGGTCATGTTTTGGAAATCAAAAATACCAAAATCTTAGAAACTTAAACCAAAGCTTTACTTTTCATTTACAGCATGTCTGTCACAGAAAAATATAAGAGTGCTACTCATTTTGAGCCCTTAACAGCCAAACATTATGGATCAGTCACCATTGAAACCATTAATCTTCATTATGTCAGAATCTGAGAAATACTATTAAAATTTTACACAGCCAAGTAAATACTGTGGTCCAGAAGTCACACACATCATTTCTGGCCAAAATTCATTGTCCACAACTGAACTCATGACTCCATCCAAACAAGGGGATCCAAAATGATACAACCATGTGCCTATAAGATCCATAAGTATTTGGTAGACAGTATTAATTACTATATAACTATAGCAATACACCAATGCAACACTGTAATTTGTTGCTGTGTAAGTCTTCTCATGATGTTACTGTCAGTGACAATGATAATGTAAGATGTATACTCTTTCCGAATCCTTGTTTCAAACACTTCATCACATTCTCAAAACCACCTGCTTTTCTGGGTCACAAGTTTGTTAATGTCAGGACCTGAAGTTTAAACAAGATTTTCCCTTAAAGATATACCAAGAGGTATAGAGTGTCAAATGGAATACAAGAAAACCTAGAATCCAACATCAACTTTCCTGAATGAATTTGACTTGCCCTCCTCCAACAATCAGGGAGCAACCAGCAAACCAGGAAAGAAGTGCAACTAATGGTAGAGTTTATATTCATACAAATATGCCTAGGATTCACCATTATATCCCACATATCACTTAATTTGAAGATGCTAGCTTAGAAGATATGTAATTTTCAGTTATTTTAATTTGTATGTTATAGCTTTCTCATGCTCAGCTCAGTACAATAAACTACATTCAAGTGTGAGTACATCCTGGCATATATTAAGTAACTTCATCAATTATAGACTCCATTAACATTAAAGCTAATTAAATCCTTTTCTTGAGAACAGTAACTCATTTTTTAAGTTCTGACCTCACTCTGCTTTCAGAGAGTTCTTTTTCTCAACAAATGCCTAACAATTTCACAAATGATCCATGAAAACTCTTATAGATATTCCCAAAAGTTCAATTTATAGGAACATTCTAGGGTGGTCTTGTGACACCATGATATATGCACTTGGTTGTCAACACTGAAACATTGCTATACTGTGCGTAACTGTATATAGGCATAGATAACACATGGAGAAAAACTGGATGGTCAGTATCTGTACACTGTACCTATACTGAGGATTTCAGCAGTAAATTTCTCATTTGATTTTCTTTCCTACCTTAGCCTGAGGCAGAGCTGAGAGTATAATTAGAACTTATTCAACATATGCTGAGATAAACTCTTCTATGAACAGTAGAGGATAAGAAGACTAAGGAGAGGGGTACATTTCTAAATGTACACCCTAATGGAATGACAAAATACACAGTCCCATATGGTGCACAGTACCATATTGTGTTGAACATGCATCAGGATACATAATAACACTATTTTTGAAGCATTACCTGTTCATTCAATTTTGCAAATAGAAATTTACCCCGAATCTCATGAGAATCTGAGCCCTCACATCTTTATCTAGCATTCATCCAAGATGCATATAAGATACAATAATATAAATATGAAAAATACAATACTACATCAGTTAAGGTAGGAAGTCATTTAAGGTTGACCAGGAGAAGGGAAGGTTGCTCTAGCCAGTGGCTCTCAAACTTTGGTCCACAGACCCTTAGAGTCCCAAGAACCCCATCAAGGAAGTCTTAACTTCAACATTATTTTCACAGGACTAAGAAGCTATTTAACTTTTTCATTCTCATTGTCCCATGGTAGAACCTTTCGGAGGTCATATAATGTGTGATGAAATCATCACTCTGGTGGTAATTAGAATGTGTACAATATATTCTTGTGTTTTTTAGAATGTTCTGAGGTAAAAGCTTTAGGATAGAGACTTGTGTATTTACAAAGATTAACTCAGTTTGTTTTTAGTACTTCTACTATGATCTTATTAACATTTTTGTTTCTGCCCACTGCAATTTCTGCAACCTTATTATCATCTAGTAATTTGTTATTTGGAATCTATTTCTTGCAATTACATGAGAACTCAGTAAGAAGTCAATCTACTTTATCTTGTTTTATAATAATATTTTTAACTTTCAAAAAGTTTCTCTCAATTTTTTTAACTTCATCTAAATCTCAATAATTTATAATTTAGTCATTTACAATTTGAAAACCATGTTATAATTTTTTTAATTTTGCTTAGAGTATATTTTCATACTTGATGATGGATAATTGGCTTAAAAGAAGATTTAAATATTTATTTTCTCAGCCTACAGTTGCATTATCTAATTTAAAGTTACTAAAACAAATTAAGCTGACATTAGAGAGTCCTTACAATCATGAAAGAGAAGATTCTTCCAAAGAAACTGGAAAAAAATATAACCAAGAAATGAAAAAATAACAAAGCTAAATTTTTCCTAGTTTTATAAATGTTAACAAGTTACCCTGATTTACCTCTGTTCCTGTTGCTACAGAGTATTCTCAAATAGCATATGGGTGCCAGCTAACTTGCAACTTCATTTTGAGTACAATTATTCAGAGTTTAAAGAGAAAAGAAAGTGAACATTTTAAACATGGACATTTTGAGCACTTTAAGAATCAAAATTGTATTATGAATATTTTACCACAACTTTTGAAAAGTCAGTCATTTTTGAGCAGCTCTTCAAAGCTGGGGGTAAGAAAGCCAGATTGGTAAGATTAGTCTTCATTTTGAGGCTGTGTAGAATTTGTATGCGTGTTCTTGAATATAACCAAGGTTTGGTATTTATGAGGGAGATACCTGCTGATGCACTTAATGGTCTAAGAGTATAACTCAATGGTAAAGAGCTTGTTCAGTAAGCATCAGGACCTGGTTCTATCCCCAGTATAATAAAGTAAAAATAAAATTAAAAGGCATGTTCTGTTGTCTTCAACTTACTTTCAAATGGTCCAGTGAAAAATAAATTGGAGAAATTTATAGAAAAGACAAAATAATTATAGCCAAAGTTAACAAGTAGTTCTAAAGGAGATATATATAGAGAGAGATATAGATATAGATGATATAGATATGGTTTTATACATATAGATATGGTTTTATATATATATGGTTATATATGGTTTGGAATGTCCATTATAGGGCAGACCCTGTGCTCAATGCTGAGGGATGCATTGCTGAACTAAAAAAGGACGTGGCCATATCCTCATGGAACCATTTGAGCAAAGGAGAAACAGCTTGCTCAGCATTACCAGGAAAGGGAATGGGGGTAGTTAAGTTTGTAAACAATCTAAAGATGAGGCAGTACCTTGGAGGAGAAAATTCCAGGGATCCATTAAAGACATTCTCTGGGCAAAGACTTTTGCCCAACGAAGTAGAATAAGTGTGGAGTTCAGGAGGAAGACATCTCTGAATTTGAACCTACCTTCAGAACTTCTCAGCTATGGGACCTTGGGCAAGTTATTTAACGTGAATGAGCCTCAATTCCTTCATCCACAAAAACAAGGACACTTCCCTTAAAGAGCTGCATATAAAGTGTTACATAAGCACTCAATAAATGGCTACTATTACAAGAAATATTCTAACCTTGAGTTATTTGATTGTTCTGCAACTTCTCTAGCTTACTGGTACAATTAAACACATACTACAGATGAGAAACCAAATTCAGAGAAAATATGACTTGGCCCCAAAATCACTGACTGACTATAGCCCAGGGATCTTCACTCCCAGGGTCTTTCCATGGCACCACATATCCTCCCCCAGAATCCCAGGAACAGTTCCATTCCCAAGCCTTCTCTACTTACCTTCCTCAAACTCCTTGAAAATCACAATGATAACAAGCCACTAATTATCCAAGATTTGGAGAAACTTGTGAATCCTAAGGTTCCACAGTCTCTACTCTTCTCCCACACCTCCCTGCTTAATAAGTTCCCTAGGGGATGGGGGAGACTCTCTGTCTTCTTTTCTGGGGAATGAGGTCACGCGAGG